TTCGCAGCTGCCATGTCTCTGGCACCCTGGCGCTCCAGTCGGCGTTGTTCTCGCACAAACGGGATCAAAATGGCGCCACCATCAAAATCATGTCCCGCTTCGTGTCCAGCAGCTTCGCGCCGCAGGAAGTCGCGGATGTCTGCTTCCACATCCTCGAACAAAGCCCTCAACGACGCCGTGGGAGAGAAACCATCAGTATGTCGAGAAAGGATGCCCCATTGGCCCACAGGGTCGTCATCGCACTCGGTAGGCCGCATTCAGGAGGTAGCAGACACTGGGTCCCAGCCGACGTCCATCAAGGTCGCCTGCGCTGTAGCAAGTGGGCCACGCACGTACGCCCAACGCCTCGCAGCTGCTTTCCTCAGTCTGGTACGTATCGTATCCCATGCACGGATTACACGATCATGTAGCTCAGGATGACGCAGCCACAGGCCCATCCACTCGCGCACAACTTGCATGGGGATCTCGAGCGCAGGGTCGGGCACCGACGGGTCGCAGGCCAAGGTGGTGGTGAGGCAGCGTCCACGTGCTCGTCCACCCACCATCTGTCCAGCCTGTCTGCGCAACTGCGTGACATCTGACTTCCTCATGCCAAAAACTTGATGACTATACAGCGCCTGAGGTACGGCACCCGCGTTCCACAACCCGCGTGAAATCCTGGCCAACGCGCCGATCCGTCGCAGTCTGTGGACCTTCCCTGAACGACGCAGGGCCCCCCGCAACCGCTGCTTGGCCTTCCTGACACCGCGCTTCCTGCCAGCTGCGGCCGGCGCCCAGACCAAGGTCCACCGTCTCCGCAACAGCCTTTCACAGGGGGCCCTTGAGCACGTAGGAGCTTGGCAGTCCGCTGAGTCACACGTGGATTTGAGCCAATATGTACAGTCTTCTGAGAAATCACCACCCGTTGGTCTTCCAGACCTTCCTTGAGGTCCATGGCGGTAGCTATCATGGCTTCCCCGACCGACGCGCAGCTACCTTCGCACCGAGCCGTGGTGTCGTCCACAAACGTCCAGAGTCCCGAAGTTGGAGAGCGCCTATGAACATGACCCAGGATCGGATGCAGAAGCCGTTTCGCCAACCCCACGCCACGTGGGGATCCAGCAACAATAGACCTGGATGGGCAAATAGCTCTGCTCACGACCGATCGTTCCTGCAAATACCTGTGCCAGGAACTGTTGAACCTCCAGGGGAATCAACGCAGCTGGTAGCCCGCAGACCTGGCCAGTCGTAGCAGCATTAGCAGAGAAACCGAATCGTATAAATTCTCAATATCCAGAAGCACCGTCAAAGATGTAGCCCCCAGTTCCAAGCTTGACTCATCCAGACACGCTCGTAGCAGTCCAGCTCGCAACGCCGATGAACCACGAATCGCCGTATCCCAATGATCAGACAAGCCCTGGGACCACGACTCACTGAGGACAGCGCGACACTTTCTCCAGAGCTTCGATACAAACGCAACCATGCCCAACACGCGGTCTCCACCTCTGGGCTTGCCCGCAATCGCGCACTTCGTGATAGAGCACCGTCGTGGCCACGCGCACTCATGTTCACAATAATGCATCAACTGCAGCAGCTGCTCACGCGCGATCCCAGGTATCCGACGAATGTTGCCTGGTCCCAGGACATGAAGCCCTATGGCCTTCGCGTCGCTCGACTTGTTGGTGACCGCATCCATCTGCTCCACCGTGATCGGTTCCAGCTCCTCCTCCTTGGCTTGCACGGCCAGCTCGACCAAGTACTCCGTGATCTGCGCACGCGTGTCCTCGGGATCCGTCCAGATGTCCTCCCAGAACCTCGCCTTGTGCTCCATGACCGTGTCGGGGTCCGCAACCTGCTGCTCCATGTTGAGGGCCACCTCATAGACTGGGGTGAGCTTCTCCTTGACGTGGCGGTGGAGGGCGCCAGGCTTGCTCGCCCACATCTCCTTCGCCCACTTCGTAAAACTTTGTCTCTGCGCGGTAAAGCCGCAGGCCTGCGAGACCGCCTGGTAGCGCCCAAACCTAGCCAGCACTCCCTTCAGCTCCTCCGTGGTGAGACTCCGTAGCCGTCCCACCTGATCGTAGACCAGGCTGCACCCCTCCTGCTCCTTCTTGCCGAAGACTGCCTCCTGGTCCATCGCCTTCGCGGTGTTCATCTGCGCCTCCAGCTCCTTCAAGCGCGTTCTTTGCCGCCGATAGTCGCTGCGATGTAGCCCGGGTGCAAGGTAACGGCTGACCAGTGTCGTGCAAACGCCCCAGTGCTCAGCTGGCGCATACTTCATGTGTGCGCGACCTGGGGTGGTCTTCGCCTTGGCGGTGCGGCTGCCCATGCCAGCTGCTCGCCCCATGTACTCGTACTGCATGCCCTCCGCAACGTCGCTGACCAGCAGCGTGGCCCGCTCCAGGGCCGATGCCCAGTCACCGTGCAAGTTAGTAGCCTTGTCCACCGCCATCCACTGCGCCGCCGAGCCGTAGGTGAGATCGCCACGCGCACGCTGCATCTCCCCCGACATATCGTAGTCCCCTCCCGTCTGGATGTCAGCCTGCGCACGTTGCCACGCGCCGAGCGGGATCATGTGCGGCATCACCTGGTCCTCGGTGTCGGTGGCCGCCTCCGGCTCCTCCAGCGCCTCCTGCAAGTGGGCCTCGAGCTGCGCCGTCCTCTGCACCTTCGGCGCCTTCTTCCCCAGTGAGGTTTTGCCGTTCGGGTCAGGCGCCTGCTGCGGCCTAGTGGGAAGTGGGGGCTGTCGGGGAGCGGCGACCGCATAGCGCCGCCATGGTTGAGCCAAACCAACCACCCACAATGAGTCTTCCAGGGGACACGGTGAACTGCTTCACGTCGCAGATGGGGTCCAACGTCACGCCTGGCAATGCCGCAGTCAATGGGGCTGCCCTTGCCCTTATCACAGGTTATGATGGCATCAGGGCACAACAAGACGCCCCCAACATTATCCAAAAAGTCCGCCTTCTCCACTCGCTGGTAGGGGATGTCCCAGTCCGCCAAGATGACCCACGGGTCCGTGATCGACTGCACGAACGCCGCCAACGCGCAGATCTTCTTGACATTGAGGCCGCCGAAGCTATCCTTGGGCACCATGTACGCTGCGATGACCACCAGGGCCCCACCTCGTAGATGTAGGGTGGCCGCCGACAAACCCTGGAACGGGTCGCGGTGCCCCTGCTCTTGGACTTTCGCGCGGATCTCGTCGTAGCCAGTCGCCGCCACATGCGACCTGATCGCGATGAACTCTCCGCCTGAGGCCCCTGTCAAAGACTTAACGTCTAGGTGTCGCAGGCGTAGCCAGTGGCCGCCAGCCGTCCAGGGCAAGCGCGGACTTCACCTGCGGAATCTCCTTCTTGGTGACGTGCGTCTCACGCATCATGCAGATATCCATAGAGTTGCCAGTCTCGTTGGGGTACTTGTGGGCCTGCGGGCCCCACTTGGTAATGTTGGCGAACATGATGCTAAACGCGCTGCCCACCAGCAGCAGGCGCCGTGCCCATGTCATGATCGCCCTTCTCCTTCTCATCACTCCTGCTCGGTGGCGCTGAGCCGCTGGACGCTGCCGCAGAAGTGGGGGCAGTGCGTCGCGCCTCTCGCATCCTGGCCTTGGACTGCTCCTTGATGCGCTCCGCCGCTGCCGTCTGCTTCTTCTTGTCCACGACCTTCTCACGCTTCGCCATCGCAGTACTCTGGTCGTCGCCCTGGATCTCCCCCACCTCCTGAGCAACGGGTGCACCAGAGACTGCGAAGGCGGTGGCCTCCTCGTCACCGGCCTTCCTGCGCTTCTCCTTGTGAGCCTGCTGTACCGCTTTCGCCTGCTTAGCCAGCTCATCGAGCTCCTTGTACTGCGCATACGCACTGCTGACCAGCGCCGCCAGTGCCTGCATGTCCTCCTTGCACTTGAGCAGCTTCGCGCGGTCCTGAGCGTCGTAGCCGTCCAACTCCTCGAACAGCGACTCGTCGACCTCGGGAGCTTTCCAGCCCTGCGTGGGCGGGGCCGCCTGTGGGGCCACCGCCTTGGACTGCGTGTAGTACTCGTCGAGCACGCGCAGATGCTCCGCCTCCGCCTCTGCCATCTTGGCGGCTGCCTCGTCCTGCACTTGCTGCGTCTCACGAACCTGATGCTGCGCCGCAAGCATTGAGGTCGTCGCCGCGTCGAGCCTCTCCTGCGTCTGCTCCATGCGGTTGACCGCCTGCTTGAGCGCCAACGACTGCGGCAGCTCCCGCTCAGGCTTCTTCGGGACCGCTTCAACCACTTTGTCTTTGAAGTCACGAGCGCCTGCAGGTCCACGTCAACCTTGTAGTTGCCCTTCTTCTCCTCAAACTTCTTAATGATTGTGTCCAGCTCCTGCTCAGGGGTGGGCCTGGAGCGGTTGGTCCACCAAGGCGGCTGCACGCCGCGGGTCTCTTGGTCCCCGCTTGCCTGCAATTTCGGCGAATCAATGACATCGCCGCATCTGTCGCACCAACCATCCGAACGCTGGAGCTTCCAATCATAGACCCAACCACCACACTTGGCACATACCGTGTAAGCGCTGCGAGTCTTCGGCATGGTGTGATGCTCAAATCTGGTGCGGGGGCCCAACTCCCGCCGTGTAGGCCGACAGTCTCTGCCAGAGGGGGTCCATACCTGGGCGGACAAGCCGAAAAGCAGTCGGGGACTAGCCGCGGACCAGCGATGTCCACGTGGCCGCAGGGCGACATGGAGCCTTGAGTCAAAATGGCTACGGAAGGAGAAGGAGGAGGAGGAGGAGGGGGAGGAGGAGGAGGAGGAGGAGGAGGAGGAGGAGGAGGAGGAGGAGGAGGAGGTTCAGGAGGAGGATGCGGGAGGATGGGGAGGAGGAGGAGGAGGAGGAGGAAGAAGAAGAAAAGGCAGAAGCAACAGCAGAAGCAGAAGAAGAAGAGGAGGAGGAGGAGGAGGAGGAGGAGGAGGCGGGGGGACGATGGACAGAGGGTGGAGGCTCAGCAAGGAGACGGTGGACGGTGGTGTGGCAAGGCCCGTCGCCCTGTGATGCGAGGTTCCAGCTGCACCTGGCCCTAGAGAACTTGACCGCTGGTGCGAGCCCTCGGCCGCCGCCTGCCGTCTTTCAGTGCCAGTCCACTCCCTCTGCTGCTGCCGGCGCGCTGCTGCTGTTTCTCAGCACCAAAACGCGTGGCCGCTGTCTGGAGATTGGTTCGGGGGGGGCGGCCGTGCGGGAGGTTGGCTGCGCAGCCCATGGGCATCCAATCGTCTTCGAAGAAACATACGACATATATTTTCGAAGATCCGCACGGAGCTCCGAACCTTCATGTGTTTGCCGTTGCTTTTTCTTTTACGTCAGTCGATGCATGTTCTGATGCATTTCGACCGAAGCTTCCGGGCGCTGGCCAGCCATTTTTTCACAGTGCTGAAGACGTGGAGGAAGTTTCGTGCCAACATTCCACCACCAGTTCATATTAGAATATCTTATGGCCGGTGCCGCCGACCCAGGAGGACGACGACCACGACGACCACGACGACAATGACAACGACGAGCTGATGACCCTGCCGTCGGCTCGGGACATGGGGCGGCGGTGGAGGGAGGAGGAGAAGGAAGAGGCGGAGGAGGAGGAGACGGAGGAGGGGGAGGAGGAGGGGGAGGAGGAGGAGGAGGAGGAGGAGGGGGAGGAGGAGGAGGGGGAGGGGGAGGAGGAGGAGGAGGAGGAGGTCCGTAGCCATTTTGGCTCAAGGCTAAACGTTGTGAAGGGCTATAGACGCCTGAGAATAAGCGATTAGCTTTGGACCCTTCCGTAGCCGGTCTGGCCCAGACTGGTTTGGGGCTCAGGGCCCACGGCGACGCTGACCAGACGTGCGCCCCAGCACGCTCAGTTCTTTGTGGCAACCATTCCTCGAGGGTGCAGATCTACCCGGAGAACTGCGGAGCAATGGCCAACGCAACGAACAACATCCTGGCCGAACAGATCGAGGCCATGCCGACCTTCCCCAGCCAGACGCGCCCCCGCTCGTCTGATCCTAAACGTCCTCGCATGGGTGGGGGCGACAACGACGACGACTTCGCTTCCCTTCCTGGGGACGCCGACTCAGCCCAGGTCAAGGCATACGTGGACGACGCACAAGCATCTATGTTGGCCGCCCTCGAGCAAGCCAAAAATGAGATGGCATCATCCGTGCTGACAAGTCTCCATGCCAGATCAAGACAGAGCAGCTGGTCAAAGCTGTTCGCAACGCCTGCGCGGAGGCATGCCCCCAGAAGCGGTTCTTCGGCAACAAGCTCAAAGGTGCCATCAGCGTCGGCTGGAAACCGATCATTTCCATCCTTCCCCAGCCTGGGGACATCCCGCCCGGGGTCAAGTGGGCCCAGAAGAACCTGGTCGACGAGGGCATCGACAAGGGCACGATCCTGCAGAGCATCGCCAGCATCGTGTCAGGGCCAGACCCCGTACAGTGGGTTTAACACTATCTTTGCGGCATGGTGCCGCCAGCACCCCTCCCACTCGCCTATCCTCTTCGGGTCCTGGAACGCCCTGGCTCTGAACTTTCATTCGCGTCAAGTTCGGGATCGAGAATACCAGTACTTAAAGCAGCTGATCGGTCCTGGGGCTATCATTGGTGTCCAGGAGGTCCACGGGACGGCGACCGAGATCCAGGGGATGATCTATCGACTTCACCTCCCCTTCTTCGCTCTTCACTCGTTCTTCCCTCCCGAACCTGACGGCGCTCCACGGGCTGCTGGTGGTGTTGTCACCTTCATCCCGAAGTTTCAAGGAGTGGCAGGGTGGCCTGCCCCCCGTGTCGAAGGCCGTGTTCTCGCGACGGGGAGGGCCTGTTCGGATCCAGTTTTCAGATGGGACTCTGATTACTCATTACAACATTCACAACTTTGGGCTATCGTGTGCCGAACGCGACTACATCTTTGAGGCTATCTCCCAGGACCTCGATTTGGCCCGAGTGAACCCCATGAAGATCCTCGTGCTCGTAGGTGGCGACTTTAACATTGCTGGAGCCCCACCCATCGCAGCTTCCAGGGCTTCTTCGACTTCGCACTCCCAAAACCGTGACTGGCGGCGTTCCAGGGGCCTGGGGCGGAATCGATGTTTCAGAAAGATGTGCGAAATCGAGATTAACGAACCGACTCACTTCCATGCTGCGCAAGGGACTCCAAGCAATATCGACCGCCTGTTCGTTTCTCTGCCAGGGTGGTGTGTGGCGCAGTCTTGCGCAGGCGCGCGCGCTCATGGCCTCCCTGAAGTACTCTGCGCCACTAACTTGTCTCACCACGTGGGGATCCCGCGCACGGTGGCCCCCAGGAAACAGGTGAAGCCTCAAGACCGTGCCATGCCTGCTGATATCTTCCGCCGCCCTGAGTTTTCAGCAAATGTCTCGAAGATCTTAGGGCAGGTGGACATGTCAGAGCTCCCCCCTCCACTCGAACTCGCTCTTCAGAAAGACATAGTGATCGAGGCCGCCCGAGCCACTCGTGATTCTCTTATTCGTGGTCGCCCTGATGATCCGCTCTCCCGTCCCGTCATTATCCGCTCTATCTCGCGGGCTATATGGCAGCAGAATGTCCACCTCGCTCAGCGTATTATGAGATCGCATTCACTGGGCCAGCAGTTTTTGCCCATCGGTTTCGCCGCGGATTCAGTTGCGTTGCTCGACGCTGGGGGCCTCCGCGAGGCGACTGACACAGCGCACGGGCAGATGTTCCAGGCTGGGCGCGGCGCTGTTTCCCGCCGGACGCAGGGCGCGCCCTGCAAGGTTTCGCGCGCCAAGCTTCGCCAGAGAATGAAGGGGCCTTCAAAAGCGAGGGCGTTTATGGGCCCCGTTCAATCGCAAACTGTGCCTCCGCGGGATTCGACCGACCGCCGGCCCCTCTTCGAACTCTGCTGCCGCCGCGGACCCGTCGGACATGCTAACTGAACTGGCGAAGCATTGGGGCCCAGTCATTTCCGACCAGGCGACTGACCGAGCGGCTGCAAAAGTGTGCATGGAGCGCTTCGGGTATAACTGCGACGTGAGCGACTTACCCCTTCCCACGATACTCGACGTCCGCAAGTGCCTGGGCAATCTGAATTCGAGTGCCCCTGGGCCCGACCAATTGCCTTATGAAACTTGGCGGAACCACCCCTCTGGAGATAGTGTTTTGGAAAAAAGGCCACGTCCTGGATGCTCGACGGTAAGTCGCTCTTATGCGGGGCCAACGTGCTGAAGGGCGCGTTCCTAGCTAAGGGCGAAGAAGCTGATGACGATCTAGAGGTTCTTAGACATCCATCCCAGACGCGGCCCCATCGGGCTGAAAAATGCTGACATCAAGGTCCTGACCAATGTATGCTGCCGCGCCCTTACTAAGAGACCCCCAAAAATAACGCACCGACGCCAGCGGGGTTTTGTTCCCACCCGAAACTTTGGAGAGAACATCTTAGATGTAGACGTGATGAGCATAATTTCTTCCATGGGAGCGGATGGCGAGCAGAGGTTGCCAGCGCTTGCATCCATCGACTTCGGGCAGGCGTTCCCGTCGATCAGCCTCTCGTGGATATGCGCTGTGCTCCGCGCCTTGCATGTCCCAGAACCGCTCCTGATGTTCCTGAAGATGATCTACGAAGACGTCTGGTGTCTCGGGGGATGTGGCTCCTCTCTCAGGATTCTCTTCATGACCTCCTCGGGGATTATCCAAGGGTGCCCGGCAGCAGGAATGTTGTGCGCTCTAGACCCCCGCCCCTTTCACGTGCCACTTCGAGGTGCTCCTGGAGGTCCCTGGTCGTGGTCTAGTGAGGGCTTGCGCCGATGACAAAGGAGCCGTCGTTTTTGCTATTTCTGGCCTGAGAAAGCTACATGCCGTCTTTAAAGCATGCCAAAGAGTAGCCAATCTCCGACTGAAAGTGAACAAAGGTTAAATCGTTCCTCTCGTCGGGAAGTCCCCCCCCCCCAGGGTTGCTAGAGTTTACTCGGAGTGGATTGCCACTCGCATCCCCGAATGGTCCGAGTTCCAAATCGTGGGATCTTCTAACTACTTCGGCCGAATGTTAGGCCCTAGTGCTGGCCAGAGCTCGTGGGATGCGCCTCTTTCCAAATGGTCTAGTCGGTCGGTGGCGATCGCTGCCGTCGGAGCCCCCTCCCCCACCACGTCTTGCATGTGCGAGAGCCGTGCCCTTTCCGTGCTGTCATACGTAGGGCAGTTTCAGCGGTTGCCGTTCAAACAAGTCAGCGCCCTAGAACGCCGACTTTCCGCGCCGATGTTCCGTGTGCCGCACTGCTGTCTCTCTCGATCTAACTGGCTCCGCCTTTCCCAGTGGGGCGGCCCCAAAGTGCGCAGTGCGGTTCTGGTTAACCTTGCCATTCTAATTCGGACAGCTTTGAAGACTCTGCCAATGTGGGCGGAACTTTCCACGGAATTGGTCTCCAGGGCTCGGGTCTGTCCTGGTCTCCAGGACCTTGTCCAGGGGCGTCTCTTCCCTGTATTCTGGGATTCTCCTTGTCTTGTTTTGGAGCTGCAAGAATCAGCCAACGGGTTCCCGTCAATTCCGTCGCGGCACCAAGCCGCCAAAAGAGCTGTTGAGAGTGCTGCCCAAGCCCTGTCTGACGGACAAATAAGTACAGCGAGCTGCGTGCGACACGTTGTCTGCTCACCTCTTCCCTTCCTCGTTAGCTCCTGCCTTCTCCGCCCGCCTCCTTCACCTCTGCCCCGACTGTGCTCAGCAGATTGCCGAGATCCCTTGGCACAAAGTCCAATCGTCTATCATGCTCTGTCCCCAGAGTTGGGGGAACAGCCTCTGCAAGACACTTGCAGGAGCCTGGTGCACATATTCGCGATTCCAGAAGTCCTCCCGCTGCGTGTTCGGCTGTCTTTCGTCTCAGGACGTACAATCACACTATGCTAAATGCCCTCGGGTCACGGCTCTCATAGGTCGTCTCTTCAATCGGCCAATTATCTCGCAGTGCCCCATCCTTCGCCTCGGTCTCCTCGATCCTTCCCCCGTCAGATTTAAATTTCTGGTCGCATCCCACCAGCTCTACTGTCTTGCCTCCTCCTCCCCT